TGTGTGTGTGTGTGTGTGTGTGTGTGTGTGTGTGTGTGTGTGTGTGTGTGAAACAATAACAGTAATAGTCAAAGAGAGACATTATGAGTTTGAGGAGGGGGGTTCATAGGAGGGACTGATGGGAGAGGACTTGGAAGTGATTACAGGGAGGAAAAGAAAGGGAGAAAATAATGTGATTACATTTTGATTATTTTGTAACCAAAGACTCAGGTCTTAGAGTTTTAGCCAACACAGGACCACAAAAAAAAAAAAAAAAAAAATCCAGCCAGTTTATTAGCCCTGAACTAGCTCGATGGAAAGACCCACTGTTTCGTACTTTAGTTGCCCAGTTATCCCTCAAGATCTTAGGGTCCTTCCTAGGCAAGATGGCAAGGCGGTGACTTGAGGGCTGGATGCTGAGAGCATGTTCACCACGTCAGCCCCATGAGCCGCCATGATCCTCCTAGCGAGAAACCAGCCTTTGGCTGCCTACAGGCTTAGGAACAGATCAGTGAGAAAAGACCTGGATTCTCAGGTTGCTGAGAGACTGCACGTGGCTTGAATGAGTTTCATCGTTTTCTGAAAAGTCACCCGGCTTGTTGGGCTACCCCAAAATGGGGGACATCTTCACCTAACCCTGTAGGGTTGTTACCACATCAAGCCATAAATTCTTATGCTGGGGGAGGGAACATATCAGAACAATTCAAGACTGGAGAAAGAAGAAGTTGTAGCAGAAGGCAGGAAGAGGAGAAGCCAGAGGAGGATGAGGAAGGAGGGAGAGGGGACGTGAGTCATGCAGGAAGTCACAAAAGTTGGCGTGTGGGCTTCCACAGAGCTTGACTTGTGCACACAGAACATCGTCTATACACAAGTATGAGTCAGCGTGTCTGTGCCTACACAGTGTGAGTTTAGAGAATAATGCCGCCCTGTTTAGCTTTAACTATCAACTTGACACAACCTAGAATTATCTAGGAAGAGAATCTCAACTGAAAAAGTTGCCTAGATGGGATTCGCCCGTGGCAGTGTTCATGGGACACTGTCTTGACTGTTTATTGATGAACAGATAGCACTGCAGATAGCACCCTTCCCTAGCCAGGTGGTCCTGAACTGTAGACAAAGGCTGGCTGAGCATAGCCTGCCTGTCTTAGTTACTTTTTGGTTGCCATGATGAAGCATCAAGACCAAGGCTACTTAGAAAAAAAAAAGAAAGAAAGAAGAAAGAAAAGCATTTAATTGGAGGGACTCACAGTTTAGATTGGTGGTTCTCAAACTTCCCAGTGCTGTGGTCCTTTAGTACAGTTTCTCATGTCGTGTGACTTGCCCAGCCATAAAGTTATTTTCGTTGCTACTTCGTAACTGTAGTTTTGCTGTTCTTATGACTGGTATTGTAAATATCTGACGCACAGGATATCTGATGTGTGATCGCCAAGGGGACAGTGAGTCTGTGACTGTTACATCATGCTGGAACGAGTAGCCGAGAGCTTACGTATTGAAACAACCACGAGGCGGGGGAGGGATGCAAGGAAGCAATGACTGGCAACGGCATGGTCTTTTGAAACGTCAAAGATCCCCAGTGACACGCCTCCTCCAACAAGGCCACACCTCCTAACCATTCCCAAACAGTTCCACCAACTGGCGACAAGGCGTTAAAACAAGAGCCTGGGGATCGTTCACCTTCAAACCACCACTCTACCGTCCAGCCAGCAATCACCCTCCTCCAGGCTTCCTGCCTTCCATCTTTGACCGTAAAGTGAATTCCTTTGGTTGGAGGTAACACTGTGTAAAACAGGCCCGCCTTCAGGTTCCTGCCTTGAGTTCCTGTCTCAACATACCTCAGTGTAGCCTGCTGCCTAG